AAAAAAAAAAAAAAAAAAAAAAAAAAAAAAAACATACGGTCGAATTGAATACCTCCTTCTTTTGGGAAGTCGGTCAAAAAGCGGTTGCTTTAACAATTTATTTGCGCAAATAATTACGTTTAGATCTAGTTAGAATTTTCCTAATATAGATTGATTAAAAAAAAAACATTTTGATGGCCAACTCTATCAACCTAAATAGTATAAAAATATTTCTATGAATAATTTGTTACTCATCACTAACGAAACGCATAAATCAAACGTATTGGACGTAATCATAAATGCCATAATCTCAATTCTATATAACCAATGTTAGTTTGTACGTGGTTAATGAGGCATGAATTGGTTCGTGCTAGTACATCGGGAGGTCAACGTAGGCTGGTCGGCGTGACATTTGCACAGCGGGCACACCTGCGCTGCGCCGGCGCAGGTAGTCTCGCCGGCTGTGCGACATGTGGGACTAATTTGTCGGCAACGCGTCCGTCACCGCCCCGCGACGCCCGAAGTATCCACCGACGCCGACAATTTCACCCGTAATTCTATAAAATTGCCACACGCAAGATTGTGGCAAGATTATGATATACGGATATGGAGATGTCACGATTTCGAACGCGCTGTTTATAGTGAGAGTTATAATGTAATTTATTATTAGATACGCTTGTACAGTAAACGTATCAAACCCATGCGCAGACCATAAAGACCTTTACTAACAAATGATATTCATAGTAAAAAGTATCTAGCCTCTATATTTGTACTATACATAAATTAAATATAATTAAGCTGATTGTAATGACTTGAATCTTATCGTTCAAAAAAAATCTAAAATATTTCTTTTGCAACCAATAAAAAACAGAACAATTATCTTTCGTTTCACTTAAAAATGGCGATCGCTATCTCTTCAATCGAGCTTAAAGTCGTATTAAAATTACTTGTTTTTAACAAACTTGGAACATTCCTACGAGTAATTTGAGAGAGAAGTATCGTACACGACATCGCTTCATCGACTTGACGAAGTGGCCATTCGTTTAATTACTTTTTGACGGTTACTTTATGAGGTTGACGATGAAAACAGTAGATCAATGATCAAGGTTAATAACGCCTACTATAATAAGAAAATTTTATACGTTATTATGATTGACATAAAATGATTTATTGGGACATAATAAAGTACTGTCTGTAATTGCTAAGACTGCTTGCTTATCTTCTTATTAAGCTTAATCAATAACCGATCTTTTTAATATGCTAACCTGTCCATTCTTGTCCATCTCGTTGTTGGTGAGTTTGACCTTCTCGAATGAGACGACCTGCTTGCGCAGCTGGTCGCCGGCAAAGGGCGAGTCGGGATGCGGGTAGAGGCGCGCGGGCGCGGGCGGGTCCGCCTTGCCGGCCACCAGCCACGAGGAGCGGTGGTAGGCGTAGCGGTACCGCTTACCGTCCACCGGCACTACGTCCAGCAGCACCGCATACCGTGCCTCCGCGCGACATCCCGCGAACGACACGCGCACCGTCGGGAACATGCGTCTGCAACAACAATCACATTGCTTACATTACATTAGACTTTCGATGCCACACTGTCAGATATGTCTCCCACAAAAAGCGCATCAAAGTTTCTTTGATATCTTTCTTTACGGTCTATCCATAGACTCTATTTGATTCGTCAAAAATGTATGTACTACGTATCACTAAGTATCACGAATTTATGTACAGTAAAAAGTCCACTACTTATATTCAATACTTAAAAACAGAAAGTTTTACTATTTATTATAAACAGGGCCATAAAGCACCAAAAGATTTATAGAAGTTGTAAAACATTATGACGTCGCTCAGAAAGTTTAACCTTGTTGCGACAAATTGTACGAACATAAATTCCACTTTCTGTTATAACGTTACTGACCCGAGTGAGTGAATGACTCAACACACTAATGACCTCAACCTTAAGGACCGACCGAAATCCAAATTAGATATAAAGACACAAAAACCTTATAACCTTCGAAAGTGTTTTACGAGACTAAAACATATGCTCATAATAAAAAAAATATGATTAATGCACACCAAAAGAAACCACCGATGATCCCGGATACGGACGGTGACTTGTATAATTACAGGGTGTAACGCGAACTAGGAAATCAAACAAATATGATGTATTCGATTTTAATGCACCCCTAAATGGGCCGGAGCGCTTCCTGCCACGCCGCGATACCATCGCCTCGCCACGTCGCTATAACTTCGCCTTTCTTAATTTCATTTTTTTTTTCGTAAATTTTAAACGGCAGTTTCATAATTTTGATAACCAAACAACTAATAGATAAGATAAGCTCGGGGCAATTTGTCCGGTCACCGGTCGACCGGACCTCATTCGTAACGCTACAATTACTCCTATTATATTTCCAAACATGTTAAATGATATACATGAGTCGGTAGGCGCGTAACGATCGTTAGGGATTTATTACGGAATGCCTTTAGTAATAAAACGCGGGAGTGAAAGAAAGAAATATTGGCGTCAATAAAACACGGGCGCAGTGTCAACCTTCCTATAACACCGGTATGATAATAATAAATACATGAGATCTATAAAATTCTCGGAGGTCGAGCGCGAAGGTAACGATAAACCCGGGTCCGGAGTTAAGCACATACCATAAATAAATCGTATTAAGGTGTGTGTCTGAATGGTCAGGTATCGAATGCGGGGGATCTCGGACAGTGGACAATAACTGCGGCCGGGGGGTACACCAAGACGAATGTCACGCGTGCGCACGAGCCTTCTGCAGTAATGAGATGCATCCGTCAAGGACGACAGTCGATCGACCACCGATCCCATCGCCAACTCTTCGCTGACAGCTTCTATAAATTACTTATATTATCTGCGTAAATATTACTGCATGCCACAACAAAAATGTGGCTAAACGTGGCATTTGTGTGGCATGCAGTTATATCATAACAAAAATATAACTTAAAATTAGTTTTGTATAAACGGTTTAACAACTATGCGTGTACGATGTATGATAAAACAATATTTGAATATGACCTATAATCGCATTGTAAAGAAATAAACATTTTATAAACACAAATATAATTTTCGTCGAAAGCAGAAGAATTTACTTTTCCGTTAAATTGCAAACAAAGTATTTATGTTAAAATATGTTCGCGTATAGAAATTAACTTATTATTAAGTACATACTAATTTTCTTAAACGAAAATAAAAACTATAAAGTTTAATACCAACATATTTTGTAATAAATATACGCTAAGCTCACGATCGTGTTTTTACTCCGCGAAATACTTACGTCAGTTGCACCTGCCACTGGCGTCTTATTAATGAAACTTAGATGTGTTGATAGGTTACCAGGGCTGTACAAAACGCGAAAAAAATCTGATTTCATAATTCTACGAAACATTGCAGCTTGTAATAAATATTACAGGCATGATTCTGAGTAATGTTTAAAAATTACTTAATTATAACACCGTAGCATTAATTTTATAACCTCAAAGATAGAGGGATGACCAGCTATTAAGTTACGCGTTTCGATTAAGTTTTAAAATTATTTTTTCGTAAAATTCAAATTCAGTTGATTTGAGGGTTGTTCGCATTTATAAGCGTAGTATGCTCTGGATAATTAAATATTACTAGTTTCTACAACATTCTAATACTAAAGAACTTTAAAACAAACAATAATTAACGTTTTACTTTAATACTATTGCCAAGTTCTTAATTAATAAACAACAACGAGTAAACATTATCAGACATTCCATTATTTTTTTTAATGCAAACGTTTAGCAAGATAGATAAAATAAATATTTCAAAGACATCCGTTGTACGTCTTGCTAAAGAATTAACTTCATGAATTTGTGTGAATAATTAAACTCGCCGACATAAAGGTAACAATACGATATTAATGCGGCATTACAACTGTAATAAAGTTGGCAGAGTTACCCGCGACCGGTTGCATTTGCATAATTCATTTATACAAGTCGGCGATGCATTCGATGCATAGATATATATAAATAGATAGGTGAATGTTTAGTAATGGCCTTTAAAAGTTACGAGTATATAATAACAAGACTATATCATTCGTTCGAAAACTATGAGTACATCGTGAGCAACCGCAACCGTCAACACAAAAATATGGTAAAACAAATAGACACAATATACCGTAATTTATAGCCTGTCCATGTATAGATGTCAGTGATTCAATAGCTTGAAAATACTGAGAATTATCTGTCAGCACACGTCACAAATTTGGATATCTCAGTCACTACGATTGGCAATAAGAAAAGAGGATGTTTCCGTGTAAAATCAAATGTAGCTGAAATGAAGCGTAAATTCTAGACTAACATCAATTAATACTGCCATTTCATTTTAAACATTATTGACAGATATTACAAAAAAAAAATACCACGAGTTGTTTGTATATATTTATAATACAAACTTTCGAATTTAATGCAGCAATTGTCAGGTAATGGACATGTAATAACAATTTGCATACAAAACGAATTCTGCAACTTACTTTATGTAATTGTTGACATTTCCACGATGCCATAGGAGAAAAATATGCTTACGACTGAGATCCTTTTATGATTTGAAGTTATACAATTAAAGTTTACGAGGATCGACGTATTAAAAATATCAACATAAATAAAAGTAAATAACCTAGTAATGTACTGTTTACATTTCTTATTTTATTGCTATAAATATGTATGGAAACCACAAGTGGAATAAACAATGAATGAACTATATTTTTTTGTTGTACTGCAATTACGGTCAACCACATTGAGGGCGCGAACTTCGTCTTTGTTAACTAAAAATAGGCTTTGCGAGAAAAAAAAACAATAAAAAAGAAAGTTAAAGTTGAATAATAATTATCATATAAAATATTAATGCAATCGCATGTTTGTATAGTTTTAAATTACCTAATTGTTTTGAAATGGTACCTGAAATGGATAAATCAACGATCGGCTGGAACGTCTTACCAGTATTACTAATATTATAAGCGCGAAAGTTTAGATGGATGGATGTTTATTAGAGTTTGTAGCTTAAACTGCTAAACAAATCTCGATGAAATTTCGCATATGTGTAGAAGATTGTCTGGAATATTCTTCCATATCCTAGTTAATATTGTTTTTTTTTATTTCCACGTGTACGGAGTCGCGAGTGAAAGGTAGTTAACAGATATTTTAACATCCTCGTCCTTCAAGAAAGGAGAAAGCGGTGCGATGAACCAAGGTGGTAAAAATAACAATTATAATTCACTTTAATTGTGACCTTTACGATAATTTCGATAAAATAAGAAACTTTTCGAACATTATAAATAACGTCAACAATGTCATTTGGACGGGGATGTTAAGTTTTTTTATAAAACATTGTAAACCGTTAATTAAAGTGCGTTTTAAGAAAGTTTTCACAAAAAATACAACGAAATGCGTAAATATCACATTCTTCGGATACTTATTAAAATATCAAGAACATCATTGTCAGTTGTTTCGAAGATAAATATTTATACTCTTGCAATTATTTCGCTACCATCTTTTATTTTTTTACGCTTTAATATTATTTATTCTCGTAATCTTAAAAGTCATCAAAGGTCATATTTACAAAGGTATTGTGTACTTTGTTCCTCTGTTTTAAACAGTAATGCCAACAATATGACATCGATATGTCTGTTACTTGTCATTCATTGGTATTACCGTACAGAACTTTCGGTAAAATACAAGATTTTTGGCAAATAAACTATATTTTTTTTATTTTACTGACTGGAAAATAGATATTAAAGTATTGAATAAGCTTGCTAAGAATTTGGAAAACTATCTGGAAAAGTAGATAATGATTCATTTGACAGACCAAGTTTAAAACTTGGTGTATCTGTCAAAAAGAACAAGAACAGTAGATGACATAATATGAAAGTACGTATAGAGTTGGTGCTCTATGCTGTTGCTGGTATGGTGTTCTTATTGTTTCAGAGAAATAATGCGAATGGTTCTTGTACACAATTTTAAAAGGAACTCCATGTAATGTGACAACAAATAATATATCAATCATTTAAAATATTATATTCTACCAAGGCAGCATTGCGCCAACCGCTTTTCGCTTACCAACCGCTTAACCATTGTAAAGAACTCGGAAGCAAAAAACATCTGACTTAAATTTCACCTTTAAATATGACCTTTACGGTAATTTCGATAAAATAAACTTTTGAAAATAAGCAATAAACAGCGTCATTTTGACAAGGATGTTTAAGCTGGTTTTTCGTAACCACTGAGTATTAATTAAGGTGTTGTCTAAAGGACCACTCATTAAAGAAAGTGAACTATAATAAAAACGAATTTTATAAATAGTAAGTAGTAAATAAATTATTCGAGTATTTCCCATAATATCTAGGTAGTTATTATCAGTTTCGATCTAAGATAAATATTTATACTTGAATTGGTACATTTTTTAATATTTCCCCTATCAATTATTTTCGTCTTAAACATCGTGAAGTTTTAAGACTACACGAGTCTACGAAGGGAAGGCAACTTTTGTTTTT